GCAGATAAATAGCCAGTAAGTGCCTACATTACCCTGATGAAATATCTTTCCCCGTCTGATACGAGATGTGTAGTAAATTATCTGATATTTAATGTTTGTTATTCCTGCTATTTAACCATGTGAATACTTATTTTTTCAGATCTGTCCGTGTCAGTGTAGTGTGTCGAGTGAGATGAGTCAGTTTCCTCTGAATAGTTGAACTTCTGACCGTAACCATGCACATAGATAGCGGGTGAGTACTAGTTTTTTTTCTGATGAAATATCTTTCCCCGTCTGATGCGAGATGTGTAATGTGTTAACTGATTGTAATAAATGATTGCACGCACTAACTTATCTCTCCTTTTTTTACAGATACATTCGTAGACGATTAATCCGGACCTACCCAAGTGAAAATGCGAATCGAACGTTTGGCGAAGACTAAAAGCAACAGTTTCGTTATCTCGCTAATAAAGTATTCATTTAATGGTTTTGTCATTTTGCGTCTTGCTCTTATGGACAGCAACTTGAGTGGTATGTCTCCATGGTACGTATTGGTTGAAGAGCTTATTAGTACGATTATCAGTCTTACTTGAACCTAACAGAATAGTTCGAAAAGTGTTGTTTACTAAACTAAACAAGCAACACCTGATGGCTATAAACATACGTTTAGGTAGTTGATAAACTATTTCGAGTTTAAATGAAGTGATTCTAATAAGCTGATTGACTAGCAGTACATCTTGGAGTAGATAGCTATATTTTAAGACAACTGACGGGAGTCTGTACAATTTCATATATCAGTCCATTACCGTGTTTGTAATAACCTGAAAAGATACACTACTCGCTACGGTAACTGCCTTTAACATGGAATGGAATGGTGGGGGCCAGTAAAGGATGCTAAATAGTTTGAGGGATGGTGCGGGACGTAAGTTGCGTAAAGAGTATTTGGTGTCAAACGAAGAACTGAGGCGTCAATAACATGAGAAAAATGAGGGGGGTCGGATGGGGGGCTTGGCTCTTCCTGCTGCCCAGAACCTAGTGGGATAAACTGGAAGGCCTAAGTGTTATCCATGTTGGAGCGTACCGACTTTTGAAGTGATGGCCATCATCAGCGATAATTGCTTCCAGGTGTAGTACACTATCCTGGCTAAGTAACAACAGTCGGTTACCCAGCTGTCGGTGTTGTCACAGGCAAATCTGTGTAGTAGGAACGATCTTGGTACAGTTTTAAAGTCAAAGGTAGTTTAAGAGCACGCGCCGGGCATGCTTTTCGTTTTCAAAGCTGAATTCAGATCAGCAACAGTGTCTAAGGCATCTCGTTTCCATTTGTAAGCACCGTTGCAGATCTGATCATGGAATTATTTGGTTAGGATTCATTAAAGATGCTCGTGAAATGAAGACATTCCTCATCAGTTAGTGATAAGTAGAACACAAATCTCCTACAGATAGTCACAAACATTCAGCCGTATATCGTTACTGAGGCGTCTCTCTAGGTGAATACTAAGTATCTCAAATTTTTTGAGCAAACATCGAATTTAGACATATAATTTCTTAGCTAACCAAGCCTTCGTACTTCCGTGGAGTCCTCCTTGTACGGTCCTTCGAAAATCGTCTTAATTTAATCCTGTCAAGTTTCGGCGGAATCAACAAGCATCAAAGTAGGATCTACGATTATCAGTGATTACATCGATGGAGCTTTCTAATCTGTAAAACCCGAATTTTCATACAAAACATAATTCTTTGTGCTATATTTACTGGGACTGCTCACCATTATATGGAGGGAAATATGAGGCCAGCCAGATGGAGCTTAGCCACACCCGCGTTTATTCATTTTGTACCCATAGCCATCTCTACTAGTCCAATGAATATGTTTGTTTAAGATTAAACTAATCGTGTCTGGTTGCAAGCAACTGTTTTTACTGAAATACTTGCTTCTTAAACACTAACTAACATTGAGTGTCTCCCCTGTGTTATCACGGCAGATTTCAAGATGGTTCTCGCAGACTGAAATACGATTAAGAGCTTGGAACTGTTGAAATATAAACCACTTCGAAAGTGCACGCCAGAGACCTTAATTAATAGTCGAACCAAGATTAGTATCCTGCACATCGATAGTGATCACAAACTAATTAAGGCAGTTTTTAGTGCTGGTCATTGACTCATCCATATTTTTACTGATTGAACAAATGCGTACATGACTGAGTGTATTTCTACAATGGATTTAGCTAAGTTTTCGAGTGGAATAAATAAGAAAAACAAGCCAACCAGGTTTATGTATAAATTATCTCCTATCTACATCTTGGGGATAATAATGATAATGGTTTACAACAATTACGCTATTAATTTCATGCCTAGTAGATATGTATGTAGTTGAACAATTCTAAAAATGTATCCCAAACAGTACCAGGACCCATGAAGATATTACGTCATCGTTAGGTTTTTAGTAAGAGTTTATTTTTGGCTTACTTTTTTGTTTCGTGTCCCTAGTTTATAATGGCATAATGACGAAAATATATAAAACAACTGATTTTCCATTTTGTTCCTGTTTTTCATACTGTCACGTTTTGGAAGGTCTAATGATATATATAAGCTAATTATTAAGCTGTACATTACCTTACGCAAGTATTATAACAAATTAGTAATCTTTTGAATTCTTCTGACACAAAACTTAAGTGTATGAAAACCAGAGTGAACTAGAATTTTATGATCATTGAATACTTAACTCTTGTTTTCTAGTACTGTAATTGAATATCTGGTAGTTAGTTTCTTGTACTAATCATGACTTAGAGTTATGATTTCATAGATTGGGTTGAAGCGTGATTGCGTTGTTGCACGCTGATTAGCTCTTTCGTATCCAGTCAGCGCTAGCTGATACTAAGGGAACATTTTAGAAGCATCTCATGTAGGAAAACTATGAATATACTATTGTCTCTCACATTGTACCTTCTGACTTCCTTCTAACCTTATTATCGGAATTTAATCTCAATTGCTTGTTCAACCGTGTTCTGATTTGGTGTCCGAGAATACTTAAGCATTAGGAACATATGTGAATAGTAGCTGGGTTGTAATATAAAGAGAGAATTATAACAAAGTCATTGATGATAAGTATTTGTTATATTTTGGAATAAATCATTGTTTATTGTATCTTTGAAGTAAATTCATCTAGCCCTTAAGGATAAAGAGTAAATCAAATTACTCACACCTACTTGGTGGGTCCCAGCTTTGAAGATCCAAGTATTGACCGTCTCATATTTTTTTTTCTGTAAATCTGTCTTTATGACGAACCAGCTGATTTTTTTTTATTAGGCGTGAAATTTATCTCTAATTCCAGTATAAACCTAATTGGACGATAACAACTCATCACTTTATCCAAGATGTTATTGAAATCTCTATTTTCGTCATAGATATTGAAAATACGCATATGTCTACCTGTGCAGATGCTTGTTCTCGATTGTTGATCAAAAACTATCATATTCTCCACACTATTCATAAAACAATCTACTAGAAGACGCCCACTGGTTAACTAATCGCTATTCCATCAAGTGTATGAAATACAAACTCAATATTAAAGACATAGTGTTTAGATAGTTTCTTTCAATTTATAAACACACTAACTTTTATATGCTACTTGAGTGAATAACTTTTTGAAAAGTCAGTCAGTTGCAACGTAGAACTTCGTACATAAATACTTCAGTTCATGTCGCCATACCACATCAGCACAGAGATGTAATTGTCAATTCAAATCCAATAGTAGAAGAGGTAGTAAAGGTATTGGAAGTAATCGAAGAGGTTAGGATTAGAAGATATGATTCAAGAAGTATGATTCAGTGAGAAAAGTTTAGAAAATCTAAACTAGAGGTGTTGAAGAATCCAGAAGATTCGGATTTGAGAGAACACAAAGAATAAATGCACCGGCGCCATTGCAAACGATTTTGAGCCATGTCATTCAAGGTCTCTAACCATCGATTATTATCATCTCGCGGACCCCAACCAGGTAGTCGACAATTACTAACATGGCTAAGTCCACTCGTCAATGACTTCATGGATTTCTGCCATGTTTTGGTTTGGCCGCCCCTAACGTGTGAAAAGTAATTCTGTCTCGAAATCATTATGGTCAATTTTCGTAGTGTAAGCTGAATTTCTTGGTCAAGATCGAAGTAGACAGAATCAGCTACGAGTCATATGTGGAGAAACTTGTATACTTCAATTCTACCTGAAGTTTATGCTGATGATGTTGCTCAGAAGAACAATATAAGCTCCAGAACCTAAACCACACTTTTAACTCATAGCGCGAGACTCCAACATATTGATTCACCTAAGATAAAAATCCTCCCACACCATCTCTAAATTGACAATAAGTCAGGAAATAATAGGCCTTTATTAGGGGCTGTAGGAAGGATTTGATTTTGACCGATTTGGTCTTGTGTGCTGTTACGGGTATGAGGGCAGTTATCAATGACTTTTTATGAAAGGTTTTTTGAGTGTTAGCTCTGCTCTTGAAAGCCCTTAGTGGGCACCCTTACCCAAGGAGACAGAAATCCGTGAGGTAGGATGAGGTGTGACATTTTTAGGGTCGACCTTTTCTAACCCTCCCTTCCTTGTGAGAAGGCAGCATCACTGTAGATGCTGGTAGTCCGAGGGAAACACCTTACTGCTGTCACACCCCTATACAGTCATTCAGCAGTACGACTTCACTCTCAGACCTTGAGTAGCTGCTTTTAGTCTCATCGTTCTCCACAATCGATCTGCCTGGCATGGTAGAACCTTCAGGAACATATGTTCCAGCCAGTATAGCTCGGTTAGGTCATCACGATAGGCAAGCCCGACCACCATGTCAAGGTAGCAGCTTCGGTTTGACATTTGCGTCTCTGTGCTCATGTGGTGGTATGGCAACATGAACCTATGTACACACGTACAAAGTTCTACGTTGCAACTAACTAACTAACTAACTAATAGGCCTTTATGAAGAAAAAAACTGTCAAAACAATAATACATTAAGTTACCCAATCAGTAAAACAAAAAGATTTTTTTTAAAGATAATTTTTCATTATTCATCGTTAGATTTTTCAATAGTTTCATTATAATAACACAATGAATCTGGTAGTATAGATTCCAAATAATTTCTATGCCATTTATGAAGAATTGGATAAGTTATAATGAATTGATGATGACATAATGAACAACACACACGGATTTGTCGTTTTCTTATTCTTATTTTACCAAATAATTCTAATGGAATTAGACATTTTTTACATAATGATCGACGCATTGCGCATGATAAACGTGTTTGTGATTTTCGACTAAAATGTTTTAAATTTTGTCCAGTCATACGACATAATAATGCTGTAAATGATTCATTTCCCAATGTGGATGATTTTGAATTGATGCATACGGTTATTTGTTGATATAATAAATTCATATGATGATGAATAGGTGAAACATTTGTGGGATTATTATTATTATTATCATTATTATTGTTAACTGAATGTTTTTGTTTCACCATAGTTCATCAATTGTCCATTTCCTATTTTTTTTGGTCAATAGTATCGTTATCTATAAATATGATCGAATAGAAGAATCATTATACATAAGGATCAAATAAAACTACTTGATATTCAAAATGACTATAAATCAGTATGTTTACATACTAGATAAAACCGTTGTATATAGAAGCGTTAACTGTATTTCTATTGGTCAATCTTGATAAATGCTACTTCTGGTTTGCTTATGTGTTGAAAATATTTTTTGCTTTAGAAATTCAAAGACATGAAGGTTAGTAAGAATGGGAACTGGATTATTTATGCGGGGTGATTGCAATACTGCTTAGGTGCTCAAACTGAAGCAAGCAGGTTTCTTATGGGGCAACATAGAATTTTGATTCACAAGGCAGTGGACCAACATTAGGAGATCCATTTTTATGGCTGCCAGTGACTAACAATAAGTTCATACGCCATTTGTCTCCACAGGATTTTGTAGTCTATGTGCTCCATTAGTTCGGGATTCGGGTCTGTCAACATTCCATAAGTGGATCCTCTGTACCCACCGAACCGGTTTAAGCACCGGATACTTGCTTTTCCTGTTCTAGAATTCATAAACAATAACCGTGGCAGGAAAATATACTAAGTAGGATATACGTGACAGAAGTTATGTACACATGACTATATTAGAGTAATTAGAGAAAACAAATTTTCAGTTTACTGTATACTGAGTGATTAAGGTATTGAACTTCTGGCCACTATATCCCAAGCAAGAACCGTAGGAATCATGCTTCAGGTTAAGCAGCTGGGTAATATTATCAGCCTTTACATTTGATATGTGATTCGTAACCAACCAACCGGTAAGCGTTTTAAATGCGTATTATACTCCTTTTTTTGGAACTTTAAGCAACTGTCAACCAACAAAAAACTGGCAATTATCGGTTCGAGTCAAATATTGGGGAACTACGGTAGTCATCATCCAAAAGATATAGGTATTTATAAATGATTGTCTATGTAAGATAATTCGGATCCTACGGCCAGACAGCGTTAGCAACAACCTAGTCTAGCATAGAACAAATCATAATCCAGTGGAGGTAGAAATTTGGAAGAAAGCTGGAAGTGGGCGGGACACACTGAGAAAGTCACTAGTACTACGAGGCGAACTTCAAATGGGAATATTCTGTTTAAAAGGGAAAGAGGTATACCAGATGATAAATTGCGCCGGGAGACCAGGGGCAAACGCCAACTGAATAAATTACAATTATGGACAGCTGGAGAGGCGAGTCCATCTTAAGGTTTAGTGGAGATTCCTGATAGGCAACCTATGCTCCACGAGGGGTAACTGACATAATTCGGTCAGTAATTTTACACCATTTAATATCGTCTTGATGTATTGAGATGTTTACGTGTTAGTAATTACTTGCTATCATCGATTTAAGTTTTCATTCACGTTATTTAAATTTCAGAATACCATAGACAAAACAAAATCAAGTAAATCATTATTTGGCCTCTTTTCTGAAATTTTTATTCTGTGAACGAGAAAGGGAGTTCTCCGATTGTATAAGATTTAGTTTATTTAATCAAATAACTGGTTCAGATGATATAAATTCAGTCCTCTGTTTGAGATAATGGACATTCATACTGTTATAAATTAAAGGTGCTTCGGAAAAACTAATTGGGATATGTTTATATTGGAATGAATAACAGACATTATTTGTGGTTCCGAATGTTCTTTTTGCGTATGGATGAATGATTTTTGTGCAAAAATCAAGCAGGCCTTAGTTAGTGTATGATTGGCTAGTCCATACACCATAGTGCTGCAATTAAACTTGACGCTGAAATTAGTAAACTAGTTTTAAAATAATCGTCTCACCGGTTCATTTAGGGAAAAAGCGCGGCTTTTTATGTTTAAGAAAATGTACATGGGACATTAGACCATCCGAATGTCAAAGGCTTGTTCCATGAGATCCAGGGAACATTACTAGCACAAAAATAACTATATACTTATTGCTTGTAACTGCATATTGCATTGGACCAGTAAAACAACTTAGTCAAGATGAAAAAGCATGCAATGTCAATAATAGTGTGCTAAAATAAAATTCAAAACCAAAAATCACAATGGCGTCGTAGAGAAGTAATACACGGAGTAAAAATGTATTGTAAAAACAAAAGTTACATGAAAATGCTCACTGAGATAACTACAAAGAGAGTTAATTCGATTACCAAATGTTATTCTGCACGGCTAGTACAAACGCCGTGAGGGAATGTCAATCTGATAGAGCTATTAGTATAGTCCTAAAAGGATAGTGAAGAACTATTAGAGTCTCTAATCAAATGCAATCGAGCACTGAAAGTAACGCAAGTGTCAATTATGCGAACAAGAATATCTCACCACACAATAGCACAAATAAACAAAAGATGTACCATATCGAATATCTTTCTCACGAGCTAGTATAAACCTGTTGATTTCTCTGCTCTCGATTCATATTCCTTTGGTAAGGTTTCAGGTGCTTGGTAGTCTCCAATGAATAGGGGTCCAGCCCCACTACTGTCTAATTCTAGTCAGTTGGTAGTTTTTTGTCAGTTTGTAAAAGACAGAGTATCTTATGAAATGGTTATGAAGCTGAACGACATTTGAAGCATTCTTATCTTACCTGTAAATTGGGATGTTACAAGTAACACGTTGTCGTTTGAGATATTATTATTATTGTTTGCCCGAATTATGTTGTGCATTCTTGATGATGTCTCTTACAGATTTATAATAATAATAATAATTTATTCTCAAATAACTACGTTACAAGAGTCACGCCAGTTTACAGGCTAGATCAAATTGTCACAAATGCTTTCACAATTACTGTAAAGTTATAGCAGTTAAAATAAGTATGAGAGTCAGTTTCTGATTGCATATTTACACCATGTCACTGATAGAAACAGTATTGTACAGCCTCATTTTCAATAGTAGAGTACAAATAAGGAAGAAAGGTGCACAATAGGTTCTTTTGGCGATTTGCCGAGATCAATAGTGAATTTGTTGGGTAAGGTCATATGGAACGCGCTTGATACGAGCTGTGATCCAGACAGTCATGTACCTAGGGTGCATGTTCCCTAGAGTAGCCAAGGATTTCCCACCGTGAATGGGGTTCTGAAAAGGAGAAGAGAGAGAGAAAAAGGCAGCAGTGTGGCAAGTGTATATATATAACCAAAGCACTACTTAACCTGTCATGTTGAAGTAGTCAATACAGTAGTAAGTCAAGATAAAATTCATACTGACCACTTAAATTAAAGTAAATTATGGGAATATAAGAATATAACATACAGATAAAGGAGTACAGCAAAAAGAAGGGAGAGTTGTGCAGTGTCAGGTGGACAGAAGAGAAGTCGAAGTAAGAAGCTGGATTTATGTACGTTGAAATCGAAATTCTAGTTGAAAGAGTAGAGTTTGTAAAAATAAAAATTTGATGAATAAAATCTCGCACTGTCTAACTGTTTTTTTTCTTTATTATTGAATGCCAA